AGCACACATAGACATGTCCCCGCGATAATTTGATCTAGACAATCCCCTTATCAAGACTTTCTTCTTACCTGAATCTAGCCTGTACCAAGTGATGCTAAATTAGACAGGGGAGAAATTGTCCATGGTTTCCCAAATTCTCAAAGGTCCAGATTCCATGAACCTCCATATGCCAGTTATTTGTACATTGTAATGGAAAGAACAACAGAAGTCAATTGCACTGGCCTTCTGTCTCCTGTGTTTTCAGTACCTGATATTCTATCTGTCCTTACATGCTCTCTGACAGCTATACTGAACTATTACCTAAATATGTCATTCTTCTCTATTGGTACTCTTATCCTTAGTTCTACTCTTTCTTGCTTACTCTATTGTATGTTTAGATAATACTTTCATATTCCGGTGTATGTTTAGATAATACTCAGAGTACAATATTTTGTAAAATTTTTCTAGATCTATTTCTTTCTCCCTTCTCATTTAGGAACACTGAATAATTTTTCTTCTTCCTTGGTACATAGGAGTAACTACTAATTTGAGTGTCTTTTAAGTAGTGAGACTATTGGTACCTTCACTTTTCATTCCTCTATACTTGGTATCTTATATAGTTCATGTCATGAGGTAGATGTTCAGATGACTGAATATCAGATTTCTTTGATTAGTATATGGAAACTCTTGGTCTATAGTCTTTGGATACAATTTAATGCAACTACTTTTATACCCAAATCCATATTATTACTATGTTACTTATTAGTTACTGTGGAGGTTTGAATAGTAATAGTCCACATAGCCTCATACATTTCAGTGATTTGCCCCCAGTTCATGGAATAGTTTGGCAAGGATTTGGAGGTGTGGCTTTGTGGAAATAGGTCTGTCATTGAGAGTGGGGTTTGAGCGTTCAAAAGCCCCAACATTCAGCTCTACCTTTCTACCTCCTGGTTGTTGTCTCAATATGTAAGCTCTCAGTTATTGCCTCGGTACCATATCTGATTGCTTGCTGTCATGTTCTCTGCCATGCTGGTCATGAACTCAATCCTCTGAAACAGTAAGCAAACCCTCAAATAAGTTCTTTTATGAATTTCTTTGGTCACAGCAATAGAAAAGTAACTAAGAAAATTGCTCCTAGGATATCTTAGTTAACCTATTATTATTTACCTCTTTGTTAACATTTGCTTTTTAACAATAAACCAAACTGTTTTAATAGTGATAATATTGAGAGAATAATTAAATTCAGTGTCGTTTATAAACTGCCAACCAGTAAAACGTTCTCATGTGCCCCATTATCTTTAATTGGTCTTTATCAATCTGATCCTCATTTTTCTTGCTATATACTGCCTCTGAGAAGATATCTTTTGTTTACTTCCTCCATCAACTTTGAAACTCAAATATCATCTCCCAAAATGGGACACATCTAAAACATAGAAAGTACAGCAATTGGATAATCACCAGAAATTTTATTGATCTTATTGTGATCCCATAAGGTAAGAGTGCGACAAACTTGATATAGTAACATCATGATCAACTAAAGCTTCAGGTGACTAACAAAGTGGAATAAGCAATCTTCCATGTTATAATTGTATCTTATAGAATGTTTTAAGTAGCAAAGTAGCCTGCAATACAGAATTTATTAATTACTATATTATGTTATATTTCTAATATAATCAGGAGTTATCAGACAAGGAACATCATTATGATCACAAAAATGAAGTCTTCTTACAACTCCCACAATAATTCGCTGGTATTTTTACTTCTGACAACCACAGCTCTGAGGGCACATCCCCTAATAAAGCAGTATGTCCACCAGATCACACATATTCTGTTTCATTAAAGGCTAGGGCATTCTTCCTCATATGACTCAAGGTACAGTGAGACTGAATTCCTGCTACCCCACTGGAACAAGTAAATCTATTAATACAACCAAAGAGACTTCCTCAAGTGCTTCTTGTTACATTCCTACCAAGATTTCTAGGCAGTAGAGATAATAACAACACATTATTAAAATGGGACAATGGTTATATGAAGGCGTAAGTCACGAACAATGCCACACCAGTTTGAAATTGTGATTAATAGGGTGGTATTTATTTAAAGAGGAAAAAACTTACAGATCACCGTCCCAGACAACAGCTTTCTGCGCAACCAGGAAGGGAGTCTAGTCGCCAGCAGAGCAGGAAGTGAAGAGAGAGAGTGGAGGGAAGTAGCCGCTTTTTTAAAGGGAGAGAGACCACGCCCCAATGGGCTGGTATCTCAGCAGCTATTGGTTGGAGGACCTCCCGCAACAGTTATAGTACATTTAGGATCAGTTCCGCCCCTGTAAAACATCACTCAACTGAGGTACTGGAAGAGGTAAAATGAAATGGTCCAGGTAATGGGAAAAGTAACTATTATTCAAATTAGGCATGATGACTCATCAGGAATGGGAGCTGAAGCAGAAAGTGCTGTGCTAATTATTCATTTTCTACTTTCTATTCTCTTCAAAGCCTTTTCGGAAAACACTGGGATTTCCCCTTCGAGTCACTCATGGGCATAAAAGAAGGTGCTCTTTCATTGTGTAACATCGGTAGGGTTCAGAAATAGGAATCCCCATAGATTGTGGGGAGGGAAAAGAATGAGATAAATTATATAGCTCGCTGGGTCCTTTCTCTGAGTTGATGCCTCTTTCTCCCTACCAAAGGCTGTTTTTTTGTAGCCACTCTTTTCTCTAACAGTATTAATGCCTGTAAAGTTCTTGTGGTATAAGAATTTCCCAGGTTTACTGACCCCTGTATAATATTCCTCCCAAAGTTGACTTCCTTGAATGTGATTGGTTTTACTGAATCTGAAAACAACTATCATTGACTAATTTTTAAATACTCTCTCTGTCAAAAAGTAAAAAAAAAAAGTAAAAAGGGATAAAATCTGATACATAGTTACCAACATCCATAAATTGCTTTATCTAATGTATTTATCAAATTTTCTTTTTTATATTAACAAAAAATAATTACATATTTTTATATTAAATGATCTAATTCCAACATACTCTTGAAATGAGAACAAAGATAGCTTACCTAAAGTTAACTAGCCCATGATATTTCTGAACTTAGAAACATGGTATAAAAAGGCAATAACTGTACATATAATTTTAGAAGACAATAACAACATAGGGGTGGAGAAAAGTCAAACTTGGATTAACTGGAGTCACACCTCAGTATGTCCAGTAGTGAAGGTCTCAGATAAATCAAAATACTGTCAGTGATGAGAAAGAAAAAACAAAGTATACAGCACTAAGTCTGGACTTCTTAGTTTTGGAAAGCTTGAGAAAGTTCAAATGACTTGGTAGAACTTAAAGGTCCATGGAAAGAACCTTCTTGTATATGAAAGTGGAGAAAAGAGGCTTTTAGACATCATATTGCTCCTCATATCATTGCATTTTGAAAGGATCACAAATCTCAGAAAATAAACATTTTAAATTCTAAGTGCAATCTTTTTTTCATTTAAGTGTGGAAATAAAATTTTAAAAGAAACATCTTAAACTACAATGCTCTACTGTCCATAAGTCTTTTCTGCAAAATAAAAATATCTTAACCTAACAAAACAGCAGGTAGGAAAGAATGTCTGGCTCTGATTGTGATCTCTCACTGAATGGTCTCCTGCAACACAGCCCCAGGTGACTTGAACATGAGGGACTTGCTTGTAAATTTTAATGATTAAAGATACCTACTGTTTCTTTTTATTATGAAGTCAAATAAAATATCTATTAAAAATACTTGTACAAACATGTGGTCCAAATATATTTGTTTAAAAAAAAAAAACCTTCATTTCTAAGTAACTGAATGACTGAGAAGAAACAATCAATTCACCATTGAATGCCAGATACCGAGCAGGAAACATGAGCCTCAAACTAACAAGAATGTCTTCTGAAATGTTTTACATTGATTTGTTTGCCTGTGGGGTGTGTGTGTGTGTGTGTGTGTGTGTGTGTGTGTGTGTGTGAGAGAGAGAGAGAGAGAGAGAGAGAGAGAGAGAGAGAGAGAGACAGAGAGAGAGAGAGAGGCAGAGAGACAGAGAGAGAGAGAGAGAGAGAGAGAGAGAGAGAGTGTTTATGGGGAGGAGGGAGTGCAAAATCATTATGGTGTACAGTGCATGTAGAGGATAGCATTGAGAAGTCGGTGTCTTCCTCCTACCACATGATAGAAGGGATTAAATCCAGATCAACAACCTTGATGCAAAGTGCCCTTAGAACCAGCTTGTCAGCACTTAAGTAATTTAATTTTCTCGACATCTTGAAATGAATGATATAATAAAATTAACTCAAAATGCAATTACCTCCCTTCCCCAATCTCCAGACAATAAGGAAATAGGACTCAGTGCTCTAAGGGACAATGCATAAAATATGTAATAGGGAGATTCCTGACTCTGAGTTTAAATACATTAAGTACCATCTATCAGGATATCCAAACAATTCCTCATTCAAGGTAAAAGTTGATTTAGTAATTTATTTTCTTGTTTCCATATTGAACAAGTATTTATAATACTCTTGTAGGTGAGGAAACACATTCAGAATACAAAGAAAAATAAAGTATTTCTGTCAGTATATAAATTAGAAGAAAAACTACCAGAGATATTCTAGGAAAAAAGAGGCGAAATGGGAATCAATACTCTAATTCTTGGGATCTCTTATCTGCTCAATATTGGTTTCAGATAGTTTTGACTGTTTGATCATGGTGATTCAAATTAACCTTCTAGATATTTTCAAGGCACTAAAAACCAAAACTATATTTAGACAGTAAACGTACTTCCCTGTTTGAGCCTTTGAATGAAAGATGATATGATTGACATAAGGATGCAGTATTCTATGATGAAATAATCCATGAGAAAGGGAACCTGAGAGAGGATGAGCCTATAACACTGTAAACATTCATGACCGAAGAACAAGGTGTAGAAGGCAGTCAAGGTCATGTGCTTGTGAATTACATGCTCAATGAAAACTTTATAGAAAAGGAAAAAATTGAGAAACATCGTGTGATACTTACAAAATCCACCCATAATCTTCCATGGGAATTTTACCATTTGACCTTTGAGAAGCTTCAAGTTCCCACATCTATAATAGATGATTTAGATGTTTAAAAATTAACTAAATCTTGTGGTTCAACCTTGTCCCTTAATATTAGTCAATGCAACAAATGACATAGATATCATTATAGAAACATTAATTCTCAGAAATGACATGCCTACACATAGTAACCCAGTTAATTAATTTCTTGGAATCATGAGATTTAAGGGATTCGGTAAGCATGAACAGGAAAAACACGAGAGTCGGTAAAATATTAACTTCAGTGTTAGACTAGGAATGACAATTTGAACACTGTTTCATGCTTCATTAACCTGTTACCTTTTTATCCACAAATCTAGTAACCAGTTCAAAACCTTGATCTCACTTTGGAAACATAAATTAGAAAGATGAACGTTATGATCTCTTTCGTGGAGACAGGCAACAGAGAATATCTATGGGAAGCAGATATCACAAAGAAGAATGTCACTTAAGCAGATCGATACATTGTGCAAATTTTTTCATAAACTACTTTCTAAGTGTAGTTTGTTTTTACCTGCATACTTCATTGAATGTCCTTCATACTTCCTGGGAAGTTCTCCCTTCATGGTCTAATTGCTTTATATAAAGAGTTTTAGTAACAAAGTATCACACACTTTCTAAAACACACGACCATGTATCTGTTTCCTCTGAGAATTCTGTAGGAAACGGCCTATTTGTTGAAATGACACATCTAACAGTTGACAACCAAGCAAGCTGCCATTAAAACAAATTTAACCCAGTACTCAGGAGGCAGAGGCAGGAGATCTCAATGTTTGAGGCTAACCTGGTCTGCAGAGAGCTAGTTCCAGGAAATTCAGGCAGGACTACACTGTCTTGAAAAACCTAAAAGACAAAAAAAAAAAAGGGGGGACAAATTTGATGTTTCTGTGGATCACCTGTATACGTTGATGAGATAGACTTACTGCTATTTTAGCACTCTCCTGATTAATAGGCAGGGACTTAGGATATGCTGGACTTATCAAGATCTCACAGTTAGAAAGACAGAATGCAAAACCACAAGATTTGAAATGACACGCAATCTGAGAATGCCTTCTCGTACATCACCAAAATGTTCACAACTTCACAAAACTGTTCTATTAAGACATAAGTATGAAGCAGTGTGAAGAAACAGCGAGACGACCCTGGACGGACCAAACACGTGCACTGCTGCATTGCTGGGGCCCCCCCGCGGCCGCCCCATGCCCAAAAGAAACGCTGGAAGGGATTCTAAAGGAGACAAAGTCAAGGTGAAGCCCAAACCGCAGACAAGGCTGTCTGCTAAGCCTGCCCCTTCAAGCCAGAGTGTTAGCCTAAAAAGGCTCCTGCGAAGAAGGGAGAGAAAGTACCCAAGGGGAGAAAGGGGAAAGACGATGCAGGTGAGGATGCAAACAATCTTGCAGAAAATGGAGAGCACAAAAAGGCGAAGGACCTGGAGATGTCAGGAGAAATGTGGGCATTTTTGATGTGTGCTTCTGTTATCTGTATAGTTTGTAATACTATTTTTACCAAGTTTTATAAAAATGCAGAATTTTGTTTTACTTCTTGTAAACTATCATGTTAGCACACAGAACACTTCATTGTTTAGGTGGGGCGTGGGCGGACATGTGCCACTAACAATGTCTCCCAAATTGGATTGATGATGTTTGATGGAAAACATCGTTCCCTGATAATTTTGAAAGATTCTTCTTGGCTCTCAGGAGACACATCCTGGTGCTGACATACACGGCCATCATGGCACAACATGCCTTGTGTGGGAAAATGAAATTCATTTTTATATCATTAAGACAAGAGACCTGTTGGAACATGATCCCCCAAATTGGTTCTGCCATCCTATTGGGCAATCTGGACTTTGCAGTGACATCACTGAGTGTCCTCAAAAGAGCAGTGGCTCCTTTTATAGAAGACTGTGGATCTTCAGATTGATAATTCTGCCATTTTCTTTTGATGTCCTGAAAGTCAGGGTCAGTTTGTGAAAGGTTGCTAAACAACATCTGCAATGTGAATTGTCGGCCCTCACTCTATGCTCTCCAGCTTTTCAGAGCACTGAAAGAAGGCTCATCGGGTTTTTCAGCGGTTTTCTGATGTTGGTAGAATCAGAAGAAGAGAGTACGGAAATTCTTGTATACAGTTAGCGACTGTCTGCTCGTATCTCATCTGGAAAACTATCATTGTTTGTGGAAAGTGTTTTTAATAAAACTGGATACAGTTGGCTTTGGAAAAAAGACAAATTCATATAAATATACATATGCAGAGATACCTATGTAAATATACAAATGTAAATAAAATTGAGATGATTATAACTAAATAGGATTATAAGTATCCCTTTAATTGTTGACTTTATCCTTTCCTGTCCAATTGCAAATTTCCAAAGTGAACATATACTGTTTTGAAAATTGGGTTAGATGGAAATTGCAATCAATCTCTTCTGATATAATAAACAACATTTGATACAGTTATATAATGATGTCAATAGAAGGTTATAATAACAATAAAAAACAGTTTGTATTTGCACCATTAAGTATAATGAGTTTTACAGATATTTAGCGATTATTGAAATTTTTCTGCTTTTAGAAACATTGCCCCTAACTAGATTGGGTTCTCAAGAGTTTTGTTCTCACCCTGGGAATATTATTCAAACAAATCTTCCAGTATTATTTAATTTAGACAATAAGCCAGATTTCTCAAGTGTATCCTGTTGTTTGAGATTTAAGTATGATAGATATCTTAAACTTACTATCTCACAGAATAAATGTAATAGATATAACCTAACCATTTATAATATACGGTATCTATCACATAAAGAATTAATGACATTTTTCTTTTATTCTATATATGTCTTTAATTCACTAATGCCTCTGAATGCAGCAATACCACTTTTAGGTATATACTCAAAGGATGGTCAATTGAACCACAATGTTCATAGCAGCATTGTTTGTCATAGTCAGAACCTGGAAACAACCCAAATGCCCCTTGACCAAAGAATGGATAAGGAAAATGTGGTACATTTACACAATGGAGTACTACACAGCAGAAAGCAATAATGACATTTTGAAATTTGTAGGCAAATAGATGGATGGAGAAAACATCATTTTGAGTGAGGTAACAAAGACTCAGAAAGACAAATATCATATGTACTCACTCATAAGTGGCATTTAGACATAAATCAAAGAAAACCAGCCTGAAATTTATAATCCCAGAGAACCTAGACAACAAATAGGATCCTAAGAGGTACATACATGGATCTAATCTACATGGGAAGTAGAAAAAGACAAGATCTCCTAAGTTGGGAGCATGGGGACCATGGAAGAGGGTTGAAGGGGAGGGAAAAGGAAGGAAGGGAAGCAGAGAAAAATGTATAGCTCAATAAAATAATAAAAAAACTTGTCTTTTCAGACAGTGTGCCATGGTAAAATGGTAGGTTTGGATTTTATTATAAAAGTAAACATCACAAAATGGAAATAATTTCAGTGAACATGAGCATATAGAATTGTTCTAAGTGTGTTAATATTTTGAATAAAACATAATTAAACTAAAAAAATTTTTAAATAAAATACAACAGAATTATGATTTATGAATGTGGTTTGCTCACTAATAGGATGAACTTATTAATTAAATATTTTTCACAAATATGGACTCAGATTTTGCTTAATTAAAAAAATGTATCAAGCTGCAACTTGGTAAACATTTTAAAATAAATTTAAGTAGAGTAACCAGCATAAGTTTTACTTTGAGAGAAGACTAAACTCTGGAACAGAACTTGCCCAAGCCAGTGATTTCATATGGATTAAAATGGACCATTTGAACTTAAGATCTGTGTTAAATCCACATGAGCTCAACATATTACAGCTCTTATGGAGATTTAACTTGCTTCCATCTGGCTTAATAGTTTTAAAATAAAAATCCTCAAAACTATTCTGATACATATACCATTAAAATAATTGGCTGTATTCCATTAACAATATTTTTCACACAGAAAATATTCTATGAATACCTAATACATCATTATTAATTGCCAATGCACTTTTTAACCAGATGAAAATCAAATATAGTCTCTAAATCTTTCAGTTATTTTTCTTAAAATCCTTTTCTGAAATAGTTGTGGATCTTAATGACCTCCAAAAAGCTTTAATGCTATTTTAATTTTTTCCACTTTAAAGAATACAATTTATTTATTTAACTGGTGGGGGAAAGGGCCAGTTCATGGTGCTCAAGTCACCAGAGAACTATTGTCAGAAGTGAATTCTCTGATTACACCTTATAGGTTCCAAAAATCAAACTTCCATCCCCAATCTTGGCAGCAAGCATCTTAACCCACTGAGTCATCTCACCAACCCTCAATTTTTATTCTTTAAGTATTATTTCTGAAAGTTAAAATTTCTGTGTCATAAATGTTTTCAAGTTCAATATTAAGAAGAAATTAATATACCTATTATGCCCATGTTCACAACCCATTTTCTCTGAGAATAAAATGAAGAGTGAATGAATATATGCATGTTATGGAAGGAAGGACACCAGTTACTTTTGTTTAGGAACCCTCATTATGAGCACAAAATTGGGTCTAAACATCTTTCTTGTTCTGTACTTGCAAATGGTAATCAGAAGGCATGAGTGAGAAGAATGCACGTAAAAGAAGTGGGAGAAAAGATGAGCAGAGAAATGATGAGAACAAAAGTTCTCCAGATGCTCTAAGAAAGCTGTGACCCACATGGTCTGCTGCATTTCACCATTAACTGAGGGGTCCTTCATATAGAGGCTGTGTGTTCTGAGATGCCAGGGAGTGCATTAAGAAATGCTGTCTCGCTCTAACTAGGGTCTCTGTGAATGTCAGCACATTTATCATGCTGTTTAGGCGCCACACTACTTAAAACCACAGCAAAGGATTTGTCTCTTTTCATTTGTAGTTGGGGTCAAAAGCTTCCCCCATACTATTTCCCTAAGTTTCATGTTTTTCTCAGTCTTAATCAACATATGGGACTCCAGTCCCTCTCAGAAAAAAAAAATAATCTAAATTAAATTAATTAATGATTTATGGAATGCAAACTCATTAAGTTTATTGATGATTGTATCATTAAAGGCCAATTTAGATAAAAGGACAACATAGAGAGTAAAATTTGGCTTTGAGGAAGTATAAAATATGAGCTGTCTTCTAAAGGCATTCAATAGCTTATTGGAAGTATTACAAAATAAATAAATGAGCATATAATGATAAAGGCAACTTTAAAATGCATGTAAGTTTTTAGAAAATCTAGAGTTATAGCATGTTTGGACCAAAAGATTGCCTGCACTAGTCATTTCATATATAACTTATATGCTGCTACAGTTATTTAAGGGTTTTGTATGGGTGAAGTCAATTTTCTGTTGAGTACTTAATCTACTATTGAATTTGTTAAAATTACATTCAATTTTATATAGTAGAGGTAAATTGTTGAAATAGGAGCGGCGGGGCTGCGTCCCCAACACCCCAGCTGCTTGGCTAGCTTATGCCCGAAATAACAACACATAAACTGTATTCATTTAAGAACTGCTTGGCTCATGAACTCTAGCTTCTTATTGGCTAGCTCTTACATATTGTTTTAACCCATTTCTAATAATGTGTGTAAGCACCCCAAGGTGCACTTACTGGGAAGATTCTAACCTATGTCCATGTTGGGTCGGAGCTTCATAGCGTGTGCCTCAGAGAGCAGAGCTATCGGGAGAGCGGAGCATGGCGTCTCTCCTCCAGAGCAGAGCTGTCGAGTCTCTCTGGGAGCAGAGCAGAGTCTGACCTCACTTCCTC